GCTTTATGCAGACTTTATGACTTTGAAAGCTCTTTGCTGGGATAGGGGGAAATTTATGAATGGGATATATTTATTTCCATGACATTCTGACTCATGTCATTAACCCAATGGGAGCTGGGCTTCCATTACGTGCTAATTTCTCTTTGCCAGGTGGTTGTTACTCTGCCTTTAGAGAGCCACAACTAGTTGGTACTGAAACCCAGGCCGAGGGCTTCTGGCTGCTTAAAATACTGTCCAGTACCCAGATTGATTGCTCAGAAAGGAATATGATACTTGGAAATTTTCAAGGAGGGATTACAATTTGTGTCTCAAATTTTGAAAGCTCGTTTTATCTGGACCTTTTATTCCCTCTCATAGAAAACTCATGGGTACCCAAATCCAAGAACTTTTTTGAAGGTAGGCAATGGAGTTACAAAGACATGTCTGGGTCAATGTAGCAACAAGACTGACCTCACACAGAAATCGTGTTAGTTAGGACAATGCAAGCCTCTATAACAGAAAGATCCCACAATGTATAAAGGCTCAAACACAATACAAATTTATTTCTCATTCACACAAGAGATATTTCTGGTCGGTGGATGGCTCTTCTCCACCCAATGATTCAGGAATCCATCTGTTATACTCAAAAAGAGAAAGCACAGATTTTGGAGGCTAATTAGTTACATAAAGGGAACTGTATTAAAACTGAGACCATCATGGATTAAATGTAGTGTGCAGATAGAGTGCCATTGTGTCAATGAGCCCTCTTCCCTTAGAGCAGTGCCAGACATGTAGCAGGTGCTCATCAGTAAATGTTTATAAAAGGAATGAATGAATGAATATCCCACCTGTTCTGTTCCCTCTTTCCCTGACTTAGCCTGATAGAAAGGCCAGATTCCTGGTAAACTATTTCAGTTTGCTTCAAAGTGTACCTGTTGGAAATAGCCCAAGTGTGCATTGACTCATGAATGGATTAACAAATTGTGCTATATGTGCACTGTGGAATACTATGCAGCCATAAAAAGATGGAGACTTCACATCTTTTATGTTTATCTGGATGGAACTGGAGTATCTTCTTAGTAAAGTATCTCAAGAATGGAAAAAAAATATCCTATGTATTCAATACTACTATGAAATCAATATGTAATCACCTACACATTCATAGGAATGGTAAGACATAACTACAGTCCATAAAGTTGAAGGCAAGAGAAGAGAGAGGCAAGGGTTGGGCAGCACCTGTGGCTCAAGGAGTAAGGTGCTGGCCCCATATAGGGAGGTGGTGGGTTCAAACCCTTCCCCAGCCAAAAAAAAGAGAGAGAGAGAGAGGGAAGGGGAGAGGTAAAGCGGAAGGAGGAAGGGTATTCGAGGAGGACCTCACCTAATATGCATGATGCAATGGTACATTTCAAAACTATTAAGAAAAGAGTGTAATTGTGATGGATGTGTTAATCAGTTCAATGTAAACATTTCACATTGTGTATCAAATCAGTACACTGAACCCCATAAATGCATCAATGTACACAGTTATGATTTAATCAAAACAAAACAAAACAAAAAAAGTGTACCTGTTGAAGCCAGACAGAGTCCAAGGGTTGGTCAAATGTACTCTCCCAAAATCCATGCACTTTTAGTTACTTATCCAATTTACAAATTTCTTTTATTGAAGAGCAATTTAAAAATTATATAAATTGGTGACTGTCCTAAACAATTTGGTGTATGAATGTTGTACCCATAGATCCACAAGATTCCTGATTAGAGCTTCTGTTAGACAGATCTGAGCCTACCACTGTAAAAATGACCAGCCTGTGAGTCAACTCACCTGACAGTGGCTGCCGGAGTTGGACTCTGAGTGAAAGCATGCTGTGATTGCTTAGCAATGTCTGCCATAGGCTAGGGGGAGGGAAAATGATAAGCAAAGTCCCCTGTAATTTACATGATGCTGTCAAGTCTAAGCTCTTCATGTATTGTGTAGAGGGGCAAGGCCCAAAGAGGAGAAGTGGCAAGTAACTGCCTTTGGAGATGTAGGTTGGAGGACCACAAGAGGTGATTGGAGCCACAAAGAACATAAAATTACCATTTTCTGCTGATCTGCTGGAAAATTCTCTTGGAAATAGAGAATTTAAGAGAGGTAAGGGCTAGAGACTGATCAGCTATTGTGGCTACTTCTAAGAGTAAAGGTTAGAGGCAGAGCACAGGGTGAGATGTGATGTGATTTGGAATCTGAGATTAACATGCTTCCTACTGAGCTAGGCCAACCTCAATTGTGCCAGATTAGAAGGGGAAGGAGAAGCCTGCTGTTCTTAGCCGTGTTTCTGTGTAAGGAATACGCCATGGGGTAGTTGCATGAACTAAACGTGCAATAGATAGAAGGCTCGAGGCTCTCCTGGGCCTGGACGATGCCTCCCATAGAGACTGGGGCATGAAGGGTGCCATCCAGCTCCTGACCCCACTCCTGCCCCACCTGGTTCCACCAGAGACACAGAGTCATGGCCCCTAGCCACGATGAGCTGGCCATCTGGAGGACAACAGAGAAGTCCCTGTTTCCTGGGTCCTAAGGTGATATCAGTTACACAACACTTTATCAGTTAAGTAACAGTATCTCAAGGAAGCAAGAAATAGTGCCAAGTTAACCAGAATCATGGATGGCAATAATGGGGCCACCTGCATTAATGGAGGAAATGAAGTCAGCCAGGGCTTGTAGTACAGGGCAATTTGTGCAGTGACATGGAGAGTGCTGGGGAGGGTGTGAGCTGTTCTGCTTGGAAGTGGGGTCAGGGCCATGGACAGGGGACATCTGAGGCGGAGTATGCCAGACTGAGAAGGCAAGAAGGGCATTCCAAGCAGAGGGAACAGCATGGCAGGGAAACAGGGCACATACATGTCTGCAAGAGTATATGCAGATGAGACTGGGCAGACAGACGGAACACAGGCTGTGAGCAGCTTTCACTTTACCTGGAGCTGGGGGTGGAAAGTAAGGCTCTCGGCCAAGAGAGCCACTGCCCCATCCAGGACAGGGGACCCAGAAGGAGATCAGCTGTAGCTTCATCTCCTTCACTGCTCCCAGTGTGGGAGCACTGAGGCTTGGTATCCAAGGGATGGTCTATTTAAAGGCACTTGTGAGTCGGTTCTAGATGGCACCCTAAAGGATGGAGGAGAGAGGGAAGGAGAATGTCGGAAGGAAGACACATCAGAGAAGGATCAGAGGGCTGGATTCCGTTTCTGGCTCTGCCCCTGAGCCCCTTAGGGGGCCTGGGGACAACCCCTGCCTCTCTCTGGGCCTCAGCATCTTCAGCACTATGTGGTGCTCAATTGTGTGGGCTCCAAGCTAGACTCCAGCACTTGCCATCTGTGTGCATTGGCCAAGTTGCTTACTGTCGATGCCTAAGTTTTCTCCTTGGTACCGACCTTTCAGAGTTACTGCAAGGATTAGATAATGCATGTCAAAGCACTTTTAATGGTATCTTTTACGTACTAAACACTCAAAATTAGCTATTTACAAAAAATTATTATAGGATGATGATGTAGGATTTTAAACCTTAAACTGGAACCTTTCTTCCAACGTATTTGCAACTACAAAGCGTAAAAAAGGTCACAGTGAGCTCTTCTGGCTGAAGCGCATAGAGACCCTGAGCCCAGACCCTCAGCATCGCACTTGGCCGAGGCTGCCTCCCAGCCCTCCCCAGGTACCTCTGCAGAACCCTTAGATGTCAACCCCCCCCATAATTAAAGCAATTATTTAAGAGATCTCTGAAGTCCCTTTCAGTTGCTCCTTTTAACCTAATTCTTCCTCCCAAAGCTTGAGCATACATCTGGAAAAAGTGTCTTTTACAGATCAAAATCTATTTTCTAAAAGCATCAGTTGAGCCAGGCCCAGGGGGATGGCTGGTAAAGGCGCACCAAACCAGACATGGAGAGATAAGGAAGTTATCTGAGCAACAATCCTGCTTGCAAAAATCCACAGACCACCAAACATCACCTTTATGATTTTTTTCAAGTCAATAAATTTTTATGTAAGGAATTTTACATCTTGTGATTTATTCCACTGCTCAGAGTCACCTTAGTTCCTCCAAAGCTTGTGTCAAGATCTATCTTCAAGGTAAGCCTTTTTAAAAGGACCCATGCTTTAATTCTCAGTTGTTGTGTCAGACAGTCTTATCACAGTTTCCTTAGTTGGGTTTATTTCTACTTCAATACAGACATACTGGAGAACTACTTTAAAACTTTCCAACCTAGAATCTTTGGGATCTAGTTCTCTAAATAATTCACTTTCAGGCCCTAGAAGTTGAATTGTAGAAAATATATTTTTATTTGGACTAACGAGCAAAAATGTATTTTTTTAATTAAATCATAGCTGTGTACATTAATGCAATTATGAGGTACAATGTGCTAGTTTTATATACAATTTGAAACACTTTAATCAAACTGGTTAACATAGCCTTCACCACATTTTCTTAGTTATTGTGTTAAGATATTTATATTCTACCCTTAGTAGATTTGACATGTCCCCTTGTAAAATGCACCATAGGTGTGGTCTCACCAATTACCCTTCCTCTACCCATCTACCCCCCTCCCCTTCCTCTCCTCTTTCCTTTTCATCTTCTCCTATAGTTGGGTTATAGCTTTCATTTGGAAGTGTGGGTGCTTATAAATTAGTTTCATAGTAAGGCTGAGTACATTGGATACTTTTTCTTCCATTCTTGAGATACTTTGCTAAGAAGATTATGTTCCAGCTCCATCCATGTAAACATGAAAGAGGTAAAGTCTCCATCTTTTTTTAAGGCTGCATCATATTCCATGGTGTACATATACCACAATTTATTAAAAATAGACCTGCCATTCAATCCTTCAATTCCTCTATTAGGTATAGATCCAGAGGACCAAAAATCACTTTATAACAAAGATATTTGCGCCAGAATGTTTATTGCAGCCCACTTCATAATTACTAAGTCATGTATTATTCTTTAATATGTTTCTGATATTCAAGTTGTGTTGCATCCAATTTTCATTCATGGCTTTAACAAAAATATTACAGGTCTCCTTGTTACCACTTTAATATGTTTGCTGTGATGGATGCCTAACTTGAATCTCAATTTAGCCCCATTAATAATTTCTGGATGCCATGGACAACAGTGCCCCATGTCCTGGAGAATGAGGTCTGGCCTCTACATTTTCAGGATAAGTTATCAGACGTGACTGTCTTCATTTGTCATAGTTCAGGTAGCTTTCCATTCCTTTGTCTCTAGATGGCTGGGCACTGCCTGTGTGGGGCGCACCAGAGTTGTCTGTTCTTCTTCACTAAGGGACTGTGTCTTATTTTCCCACGTCTAATTCCTAGCAGAGGGGCTGAGTTTACCAGGGGCCCAACAAATCAATATTGGCTCAATCAAAGGGAACTGAATATAGATACCTCTATGTAGATACTCCAAGCTGGATTCAATGGACATGGATCCTAACTATGCAGAGGTTATTGTTTGAAAGGGAAGATCAATAAATGTAAGTGTGTTGAGGTTCAGGACTTACTGCACTATTGAGAGATCAATTCCAAAATCCAGAACAACTGTTATGGGACCCTAGAATGCACAAAAGGCAAGGATTTGCCTTCAGGACCTTCAGGATCTGCTAGGGCTGAGCTTGGGAGGACCCTGAAAAACTTTATCTTGAGGTCCTGAAATGAAAGATCTCTTTGCTTCCTGGGACCCCAGGACCCACTGTAGAGTTCTGCCCAGCCTTCCACTATCCCCTTGTTGTGTCCTTTGTCATAATTGCACATGCACTTTAGACATTGGCCATTCAGCTTCCTAGATAGGTGTTGGAGGCCACAATGAGCAAAAGCTGAGAGTACAAGCCTAGTCCCATTCTGTCATCCAGAGCCTATCTTCACTGACCACTCTGCTTGTCCTTCATCTACATCTGCCTCTGGTCACACACCAGCTGCTTCAGCCTCCTTCAGCCTGTCACTGTTCTCCAAGTCATCCAACCCATTAATGGTCAGGTTCACTCAGCCTGGAAGGCCCGTTCCTGCCCTTCTGTACACACCTATTGAGCTCCTACTCATTCTTTAAAACAATCTGAAATGCCTCCTCTTCTGGGAAGCCTTCCTAGGTCTCCTCAGTTGGAATTCTTTACTCCTCCCTTTCCTGCCCTCTCATAGCCCTTATACAGCATATCTGACAATGTACTTGAGTTTTAATTATGTTTTGTATTGCCTTTATTATGTTATAAAGCTTGATGTGGGCTTTCCATCTCACTAATCTTCAAACCTGAATGTATGGGAGAAGTCCATGGATTTGGGCTTCAATTCCTAGGTCTTTTGGGGTATATAAATTGAGACAAGTTATCAAATATGTCTGAATCTTATCATCCTTGTCTGTAAAATGAGGATTTAAAAACTCTTTTCTTACAAGTTTATAATGAGCATTAACTAAGATAACTTGTATGAAGTCATAGTGAAAATAAGAGTAATGAGAGTTAATATTAAAGCACTACTCATTAAAGCACTACTCTAAGCTCTTTACAAGTAGTTCATTGCATTTTTTTATCTTAGGAATAATTATAGATTTGTAGCAAGTTGCAAAGATAGTACAGAGAGGTCCCATGTGCTCTCTTCCAGTTTTCTCCAATGTTTACATCTTATATAATTATAGTACAATACCAGAAGGAAATTGACATTGGTATAATGTATGATAATAGTTCGGTATCATTTTCTCCCTTGAGTAGATTAGTGGAAACCCTATCACAATCAAGATACAGAGCTAAATATATCCCTGTGCAAAGCCTTTATAGGCACATCTACCCTCTTCCCTTCCACCATTCCTAGCCCCTGGCAACCTTTTTTTTTTGCAGTTTTTGGCTGGGGCTGAGTTTGAACCCACCACCTCTGGTATACTTGAGCCACAGGCACCACCCCCAGCAACCTTTAATATGCTTTCCATCTGCAAAATTTTGTGATTACAACAATGTTATCTAAATGTAATGCCACAGTCTGTGACCTCTTGAGATTAGCTTTTTTTCTACTTAGCATAATGCCCTTTAGATCCATTCAAGTTGTGTATAAATAGTTCATTCCTTTGTTCATGCTGAGTAGTATTCCATGGATATACTACCAATGTACCATGGTTTAGCCATTGAAAGACATCTGGGTTGTTTCCAGTTTTTTGCTATATGACATATTAAGCTGCCATAAACAGCTTCCTATTCACTGGGATAGATCCCCAGGAATACCATTGTTAGGTTATATGCTGAGTATATGTTTAGTTTTTCATAAGAATGTAACTATTCCCTAGAGTGGCTGTACCATTTTATATTCCCACCAGCAATATATTAGCAATTGTTTCTCCACATCTCTGCAAGCATTTGGTGTTTTCACTTTTTTTTATTTTTAGCTGTTCTGGTAGGTATATAGTAACATCGTACTATGGTCTTCCTTTGCCTCTCCCTAATAGCTAATGATGTTGAACATATTTTCACTGCTTATTTTCCATCCATAGTATCTTCTTCAGTAATATGTCTCTATGTATCATTTACCCATCTTCTAATTGGATTGTTTGATTTTTTAATGTGGAGTTTTAAGTATTCTTTATATATGCTGGATATTAGTCCTTTGCCATCTGTGAGATTGGCACATTAGCTCATTTAATCCTCACAACGACCTGTGAAGAGGACACTAGGATTATCTCAATTTAATAGGAGAGAAATTTGAGATGCTAAGAGGTTAGGACTGCATGTGGCATATAGCAGGTGCCCAGGGAAAAAATCCCAGTGAGCTTCATGCAGATGGAGTTCAAACCAAAGGCACATTTCACTCAGGTCATCTTGGTGGAAATGGGAGGGTTATTGGATATAAGGAAGGGGAGATGAACATTAAGGCCAGCAATGAGTAGAGGACCTTAGCACTGGGTTATCAGCCCATTTAACTGGCTGAGAAGTTGAGGCACAGAGTTCTATCTGGAAGTTCCATTAAGCCTATTTAAATTGTCTCTTTTCATCCCAATCCCACCTTTCTCTTATGCGGCAGATTTAGATGGTAGCTGGCCAGTTAGTTTCTTCTACAGAGATTTTTTTCTTAAGGGAAGAGATTTCTTCCATGCCGTTCCTTTCCAGGGTGCTGGGAGTCAGCTTACTGCTTTCACAGGAGGTACAGAGGCCGGGGTCAGAACGAGAGCTGCTGGTCACAGTTTGGCAACAAATAGCTTGGAAGTTGAATGCTTTACTTCCCCAGACTTTCCATCTCTATATCTGTAAAATAGAATAATAACAGTAGCTAACTGGCAGGATGGTTGCATAGATTAAACGGGGTGCAAGGTATAAAACAAGGGTTTCAGCAACACACATGGATTTAGAATGGAGCTCTTCCCTTTCTAGCTGTGCAACCTTGAAAGTGGTGTTTAGCTTTTCTAAGCCCCAATTCTTATCTGAGAAATGGGACAATCATAGTTACTACCTTATTGGCTGGGAGTGGGGATTAAGTGATATAATGCACATAAAGCACATGCACAGATCCTATTTCAAGATGAACATGATTAATAATAACAAACATACACTGAGCACTTGCCGTGTGCCAAAATCCACTTGTCTTAAATTCATACAAAATAAGATTAGACACTAAGACAGAGACTTAAGTGGAAGAAGTTTATATGGGAGGAGATCCCAGGAAGCAGACTGAGAGAGTGAGGAAGTGAGATGGGAGAGGAGTTTCTTCTGTGGGCCATGGGGCTCCATCCCACTGGGCACCACTAACAGACTGGGAAAGGCAGCTGAGAGTCTACGTGCCTGGAGGTGTGAGGAGGCTTCGGTATCTGTCCTCCATCCCCTATTCTCATAGGTGGAGATCACTCCTGGATATTTCTTCCACCACATTTTTGGCTGCTCTGTGCTTGGACTAAGCATATAACCATGGCCAGAAAGCATCCTCAGGACAGAGACCCAGGAAGGCATCATTGTGCACAAGGAGCCCGAATTGTCTGCATGGGGTCTCAGGGTTGGCTGAGGGGGCGCTGATGGTGCCAGCAGCATCTTCTGTGCTACTTGAAGCACTTACAGCATTAACTCATTTACTTTATGCAACAAATCTGTGAAATGGGCACTATCATTGTCCCCATTTTATAGATGAGGAAACCAAGATCACAGAGAGGTTTTACAACTTGACCACAGTTCTACAATCACTCTGATTTCAGACCCTGCATTCATAACTAGTGTCTTTCAAGAACATTTGACCATAAACCTTGGTGAAAAAGAAAAAAGAAAGAAAGAAAAAATATTTTTTACATCACAATCCAGCTGCCAAACAGTCACATATACATTAAAGACAGAAAACTTTCACAAAACAAGACTCCTTTGTACCAGGTGCAATACACTCTGAAATTCTATGTTTTTAAAAAATCATGTTCTTTTTAGCCAGGCAGTGGCTATGCCTGTAATCTTGGATCTTTGAGAGTCTGAGCCAAAAGGATTGCTTAAGTCCAGGAGTTTGAGACCAGCTTGTGCAACAAAGTGAAACTCTTATCTCTTAGAAAAAAAATTTAAATAGTTGGGCATGGTGGCATGTGCCTGTAGTCCCAGCTACCCAAAGCCTGTGCAGGAGTTTGAGGCTACAATAAGTTATAATCACGCATGCCACTGCTCTCTAACCTAAACAATGGAGTGGGACCCTATCTCTAAAAAAAAAAAAAACATAAAAATAAAATTAAAATAAATTTTAAAATAATGTTATTTTTGAAACGATATTAGTCATCCACTAAACTGTTTTCATAACCCAGTGATGGGCTGTAATCCATAGTTTGGTTAAAGATAGGCCCTAACATTCTATTTTATAAGACAGTGTTGAAGAGGATGATGTGGTGGGACTGGCATGGGGGCTCATCCCCAGTAGGTGGCCAGGGAAGGTTGGTTTCCTTACTCACCCTTCTTGGCAAACCACAGCCTGTGAGCTGCTGCCTCTAAGGCTTGCAGGCAGAGGCCTGGCCGGGCCCAAGTGTATTTCCCACTCTAACCCAGATTCACCCCAGTGGGATTTGCTTAGCCTCCTCCCTAGAGATGGGGGCCTTCTTGGGCTCTGACCTTCAAGTCTCCAGCCTCCCAGAAGCCACCCTCCTTGGGAGGTGAGGTTATGCCCTGTCCCCAGCGACGCTGTCACTTCCTTCCCCTGTGTCTCTCTGTG